CCTTTTCGCCAGCACGTGGCTCGCCCGCACCAAAGGAGCTGCCAAATGCAACGCATGGCAGCTGGCGCTCCTCTTAAACTACCTGTCGGGCGGGGACCACACCCAACAGCGACGTTCTCGATCAAATACGTCCGCTGATCCCAGCCCTATTTGCCGTTACTGTGATGAGGAAGAGGAAACTCAGGAGCACACTGTGCGTGACTGCAAGTGCTGGGCCCGTGAAAGAGTCCCTCTCACCACCCTCATCAGTGACGAGCAGTGGGCCCGTCTTCCTCCGCACACAAGACATTGCGGGCTCTTCGATGAGGACCCAGCCCTCCTCGATCTGCAAGCCGACCTCGCGAGGGACCCGCTACCTCAACCCATACCGCGGCCCCCGCCTGAGGGAGATCCTGCGGCTTCAGCCCAGGACTCCTACACCACTTACCTTGACCACGACACTGGTTGGACATGGGTCTACGCTGCCACGGACGGTGCATGCACCAACCAAGCCATCCCTTTGCTTGCAAGAGCGGGCTACGGCGTCTACTACGGCATCGACCACCGCATGAACTACAGTGCGCGCGTTCACGGCATCACGCAGAACGCACAGCTTGCGGAGACCCTCGCCATTGTCCACCTCACGGCATGTGCTGAACGGCCCGTACACGTCTTCGTGGACAACCAGGCGGTGGTCGACGGCTTCCAAAGGATCATCGACGGACACTCACCTCCGCAGGGCACGCACGTGGAGTTCTGGGAAAAGGTCCACCGATGTGTCATGGCCAAGCCAAACATGTTCCGCGTAGAGAAAGTCGCTAGCCACCAGGGCGACACGGGCATCGACCTCGGGCTCATCGGGCCCATCGCGGAGGAGTTCAATCGTCAGGCTGACGCCCTCGCCACAGCGGCGGCACGTACTCATAACCTTCCAGACGACATCGTTGAAGCTGCCAAAGCACGACACCGCCAAGCGACCGTGCTCCATGGAGTCGCCGTTGCCATCTACGAGCGGAGACATCGTACACTTCCTCTCCCACACCGCAGGGCTGGGTTCACTGCTGCAGAACTAAACAAAATGGAACCAAATCCCCTGCTGTCTGACCAGGCTCCACCCGCGGCTGGACCAGACATCCCACAAAACCCCGACGAGCTCTGGGCCGAGGCCCAACGGGTGTTATTCGACGAACAGGAGGACGACCCGTTCGGCTTTGGTGGAGGTTTGGACTTCCTGGGCGACGAGTCAGCCAGCGCCAACCCTGCCCCGGCGGGCACCCGCACGGCGCCCCCGACTCCGCCATTGAGTGCGTTAGCCCACCCACATGACAACGCCGTTCCTTTTCAAGACGCTGATGAGCAGGACGATGACCTTTTCAGCCTCGGTGGGGGATCGGACGCTTTGGACGACGGACCAGCCAACGAAAACCCCGCCCCGTCGGGAAACCTCGCAAACCCTACTGCGACGCCGTCCCCAAGAGCGTTAACGCCCACATACGACGATATCGGTCACCGCCAAGACGCCGACCACGACCCGAGTGCCCCCCGAGGATTGGGTGGCATTGAGGACGCACCGCCGACACCACACGCTGCCGACCATGCCGCCCCACCGAGTCACCAACCCTCTACGCGACCGACCTCAGCGGCCTTGCACGGCATCACGACTGGTCCCACCGCGCATACCACTCCGCCTCCCCATCGTCAGCGACCCGCGGGGGCGGCTTCAGCCCCCCCGCAGGGTACTAAACCAGACAGGCCCTCGTGCCCCACCCACGCTTCCTCCGTTGCTGAGCGAGAGGAAGCGGCTCCCCTGACCTCTCGGGGCGCGGCCCTAGCGGCTCCAGCCCTGGGGTCGCGCCGGCCCCTCCAGTCACCTTTTAAGGGTGACGGACGTCAGCGTTCAGGGTCCCGCACGCCGCTAGCCCACCTGGACAGGCGTACCGAGGACCTCGCCTCTGTCTCGAGATCCTCGGCGGATGTCACTGAGCAGCCACCTCTCACCGACCGTGAAACCGAGCTGTCACAGGCTATGGCTGCCCTTCAGCAGAGGTGCTTAGCTCTCGCCGCGGACCTCGCCGCTGCCCAAGCTCGTCAAGGTCCTCTACTCCAGCGCCTCCACAGCGCTGGGCGAGCCTTCGCCGAGCTGCTCACGACCTCGCCCGATGGTGTCGTGCCGTCACTCAACATCCAAGCTATGTTGTCATCGTTCCGCGGCGCTCCACCTGGTGCCCCGCGCTAATCTCCTCCTTTCTGCCTGCCCGTGTGTACGTGTGGCTCCGCGTCCACGGTGTCAGGGCGTGGGGGCGGGGGGTGCCCCGTCACTGCGCGCCGCTTAGCGGCCAAGCGCCCAACTGGCGGTCCGCCAAGCCGCCTAGCCACGTGCCAGCACGTCGCCTTTCTTGTTGGGGCCTTTTACCTCACGCGGTCTGTCAGGTGAGATCTTCATCGTCTGTCCGCCGTCTGTAGCGTCAGTCGCACTGCGCCGGGGGAGGGGGTTTTGTAGCCCGCCCTCGTATCTTAAGGCTGCACCGCCGCAAATAGTGCTTGCGAGTTGTCGCACCGCAGTGCGCCTCGCGG